ACATACGTGCATTCATACATACATACTACGTGTATGTTGTATATATCTATACATAGTAAAGGGATGCATGTAAACTTAATCCTCAACTCCGTTTCAGGGCTCCCTGGCCTCTGCGTGAATACGGCCCGCATCAGGGCCGAGCCTGAACCCCAGCACTCGTCCCCGCTCCGTTCTCCCAGTGCTGTGGGACTTGGAGCTGACGTTGGGGTTCAGGGTTTCGGGTTTTGGGGTTTAGGGTTTAGGGCTTAGGGTGAGGTTACTTGGAGGGTCGTCGGACTTAGTAGCTGAGAATGTAATCGTAATTGTGCTCAAAATTAAGTGCAACCTCAGCTAAGGAACTTATAACGTTTTTCTTTCTAACTCCCACGATCCTCCAAGTAGGGTTTAGGGTTTGTTTCTCAACATTTCAGGCTTGACGGTTTCAGCACATTGAGTTTGAGCTTGTCCAGTGCAAAGAATTTACGGCTGATGATTCGCGTTGAGGTTTCTTCTTCTTTAGGCCTGAAGGGTTATAGAAGTTCGGGGCTGGATGGGTTTGTAGATTTTGGGGGCAAAGGCACTGCTGGGAACGGGAATTCAGGGGTTGATGAGTTACGGCCTAGTCATTGGGGTTGCCGGCACAAGACAGCTTCATATGTGGCAAAGTTGCAAACTGACAATCGGGCTCATAAACCCGCTGAAATGAACCCAAACAAGATGGTGGCGGGTACATGTTTGTCAGCTTCATTCTGGCACAATGCTGTCTCTGTTATCAAGCATAGGACTATAATTATACCAGCCTCGACCCCAAACAGCAAGTGGGAGACAAATGGGAGACAAGTGGGAGACAAATGAGTAGCGGTTTTTAGAGNNCAAATGAGCGTTAGAGACTCCTTTTCCATTAAGCAAATCAACCATTTCTTAAGTTCCGTATACCGTTCAGAAGTTCAGTCTGCGGCCCGCCGCACTCCGCAATGTCGCCATAGCAACTTTCGATCCGATCCAACCTTCGGCTCCCGGGTGTTGGGGTGCTCTTGCGGGTTTAGCTAAAGGAAACTACAGGT